CGGCGGCAGCGTAACGGGGAGCGGGTGGCGCGCCGCCCCGAAGTCTGGGGGCGCCGCTTCCGGACCCGGGTCGCCGCCTGCGATGTCCAAAGGCCGCTCGCGGGGTTCATCCACAGCGGCCTCCTCCACTGCCTCCACCCTCACCACCACCACCACGACGACGCTCTCCACCAACGCCCCTCCCGCTATGAACGGTGAGCGGCGCGCGGGCGTCGAGGTGGTCGCGCCCCCAACCGGCGGGCCCCGTGCGCACCTCCAACACCTTCACCTCCAGCATTAAGGGCCTCTTGCAGCAGCGCGAGGACCACGGCGGCGGCGGCGTCCTGTCGTCCATCCGCCGCTCCCTGCCGCAGCGCCAGCGCTCCGCCTCGTCGCACGGCGAGGGGCGGCCCGGCCAGGAGGAGGGCGCGGGGGGCCGCCGCTCCCTGCCCCCCCTCCGCATGGCCGGGGGCCCGTCGCCGCGCGGCCGCCGCACCATGTCCAGCATGTCGGCCAAGCGGCGGCCGGCGATCCTCGAGGAGGACAAGGAGGCGCTGAACGGCGAGGAAGCGGCCCCTCCGCCCCCGCCCACGAGCGGCGTGGGCGGGCGCCGCCACTCGCCGCGGGCGAGACGCGCCCACAGCGTGCAGGAGGAGCGGCAGTCGCCCGCGCGCGAGCGTGTGCCCAAGCAGAACAGTGCGGAAGAGGCGGCGCTGGACGCGACGGAGCCGTCGCCGGTGCAGCCGCCTGGGGACGACGCGCGCCTCGAGGAGGACGCGTCGCTGGCCAAGGACGGCGAGGAGAGAACCCGAGAGGCGGGAACGCTTACAGAAAAAGAGAAAGTGGAGTGTGAAAGAGACGAGAAAGACAAGGACGAGCGCGAGGAGGACGAGCGCCGCCATGTGGTCGAGGAGGAGGACGCCGAGGAGGCCGTGGACACGTCTCCCGACAGCCGCTTCCTCAAGTTCGACCACGAGATCGGCCGCGGGTCCTTCAAGACGGTCTACAGGGGCCTCGACACCGACACCGGCGTCGACGTCGCCTGGTGCGAGCTGCTGGTGAGTACCCCTTCTCTTGGCCGAGTTGCAGTCCCACGCCGTGCATGCTCCGGGTGGGCGGGGGCGGCCTGCGCCTCCACGGGACGCAGGTCGCTCTTGTGCTTTAATTATCTAAGATGTAATCGTAATACAGATTTCTGATTCCACGATGAGACAGGAGGAAAGGTAAGGGATAGACTTGCTTTTCTTCAATGCCCTGGTAAGGTCCCTGTAGTTGTTCCTTGGTTTATCGCTGATGAAGTCTTTTTCTTCTGAGGTCATGGCAGGGCTCTCGTGTTGGCAGGGATGCGGGACTCGAAGACCTGGGGGGCGAGGGCAGACAAGGTGTCTTCAAGGCCAGGCTATCGCACGAGATAGGAGTAGTGTCTCTTTGTAGTGCCGGTTCTCCCCTCCCCTCTCTCTCCTCCCTCCCTCCACCCCTCACCTCCCTCTACTACTACTACTTCTACGACTACTGTTATTATTCTTCTTCCTCTCTCTCTCCTCCTCTTCTCCCCCCCCTCTCTCTCTCTCCCCCCTCCCCCTCCCTCCCTCTTTCCCTCTCTTCATCAATATCACTCTCTTCCTCTCCATCATCCTCTCTTCTCTTTATTCATCTCTCCCTCTCCCCCTCCCACCCCTCCCTTCCCAACATCCCCTTCTCGCAGATCAAAAATATCTTCATCATGAATCACCACGTATGAAATGCACATGATATATATAAAGTACATTTTAGAAGTACAAACAGCTTTTTTGTTCGACGACTGCATACTCAAGTGGTTCTCTCAAGGCGCAGCGTCGTCTTGCTTGATGTTGCAGATTTCAGTGCAGATTTGTTCATGGAATCGGCCGTGTTACGACGCGCGTTCGACGAGTCCCGAGGCACCGCGCCCTCCACTTTCGAGGTGTCAGGAAGCGTAACTGAGGCTGTTGAGAGGCTTGTCCCCCCCTTTTTTTATACCATCATGGCATAATCTGACATAGTAGGCTCTGTTTTCGGTAATTTGCTCTCGGAGTTCAGTTTCAGAATCGTATGTTCAGATTTTTTTTAACTCGCGTTCCCAGAATGCTATTTTTGGCCGCGTGTAGAATTGCCCGGTGTATTTGAGAAGGGAATTTAGTATGTGTAATACGTCATCTCACTCCCCCACCCCCCACCCCGCCCATGCGCACGTCATGATGTATTCTCGACCGTTCTGGGCGTCGTGTAGGATGGTAGGAGGCATTCTAAGAGTTCCTCGAAGGTAGGAATCTTGCAGTTTTTGACTTTCCTTAGGAGACATTCTGGTCTTTTGAAAGAATGAGTTTTGTCCCTTTTTATCTCTCTTCATATCATTTTTATATATCTCTTTATAGTAGACATTTTAGAGTTCTTGGAGATATGATTTTTTTCTTACTGAACCTATTCCTTGCGTCGCCGCGTTCGGGTACATTCATAGGTCCACAGTCGTAGTCAACACGTGAAGGTGGTCTTACCGCGTGGTTTGTCAACAGTTCCTTTTCGAAATCGGAAGATGAATTAATCAAGAGATCCTATTCCCATCTGTCCCAGCCAGCAAAGCTTCGAAAAGGCCCTCCTCATCGTCCTGGAAAGCTCTGCAGGGAACGCTTCGGATAGTCGAGCTTTTATTAATCTGCCATTAGGCTTTCAAGACAACTTTCTGATTGATGCAAAACTCTTTCGTCGTGTCACAGCAGTCTAAACTTTAATGAAGTCATTTTATAGACACTTTTTAGACTCTCGTAGGACCCTGGAACATGTCTGGAGAATTCTTGACTCATATTGTACCCCGGGCCATGTCAGGATAATGCTTGACTTCCGTAGGATCCTGGGATATGTCAGGATAATGATTGACTCTTGTAGAACCCTAAGGGTATGTTAGGATAGTCTTTGACTCTTGGATCCAGGGGCATGTCAGGATAATTCGTAACTCTCGTAGGACCCCTGGGGATATGTCAGGGTAATCCTTGGCCTAGTAGGACCCTAGGCATGTCAGGATAATTCTCGACTTTCATAGGACCCTTGTCAGGATATGTCAGGGTAATCCTTGACCCTAGGAGATAATTCTCGACTTTCATAGGACCCTGGGGGCATGTCAGGATAGTACTTTGACTTCCTTAGGACCCAGGGGACATGTCAGGATAATTGTCGAGTCTTGTAGGACCCAGAGGCAAGTCAGGATAATTCTTGATTCGTAGGACCCCGGGACATGTCAGGATGATTCTTGACTCTAGTAAGACTCTGGGGTATATTAGGATAAACTCGGCGAATGCACAAGAAGCCGAAGAGCTTTGGTTAAATATTTGTCTGAAGAGGAACTCGTGAAGTGTTCGAAACGTACGTTTCTTTTTCTGACTGTGGCTGTTTTCATTTTTATTTTTGTATACACGATGCTGTACATGTCCATGTATTCATATACATATAATATATATATATATATATATATATATATATATTTATATTATATATATATATATATATATATATTTTTGTTGTTGTTTACGGTGTTGCGAAGGGTCCGAAGAGCGCGGCGGGAGGAGAGGCGGAGAGAAGCTGCTGATCATACTTTGAATACTAGAGACTGGTTATAGCTGCAGTCTTAATACTTGGGGATTAAATATTCTTACGATGACAGAAAGAAACAGTAAAAAATGAGACGTCTGTCTCTCCCCCCCCCTTGCATAAGCCGTCCTTCAGAAGTGAGTGACGTGACGAGACATTTTCCCGCATGCGTTCGATGCGCCGCGGTGTTCGTAAAAAGGCCGTAAATCGCAGCCCAGTCAGTCCAGACAGCTTGTGCGGTTCGTTGTCGAGTTGGAGGCGGAGTTTGAAGTGAATGACGTTGGATGGAGATGGGGTTGATGGCGAACTCTGAAGTTGATGAAGATTGAGTTGATGGCGAGGATAACAAGCGCGGTCGGGCGGGGCGTGCGGGGGCGGGGCGAGGAATACCGGGTTTCATAGCTTCGTATTGTTCTATCCGGTTCGAGTTGGGGAAGGTTGGGATTTTTCCTGTTCTGACGAATTCGGTTTTGGGGGGATTTCTTTCTTGGTTCTGGACGACTCGGGCGTTGGCGAAAGGAGCGCTTTGTTGCTGTCGTTGTGTCGATTAGCGTTGCGGTCATCGTAATCGTCGTCGTCGTTATCATCGTCAGTAGCTGGAGCCTCACTATAGTTATTATTGTCGTTACCGTAATCATTCATCATCCTCGCCATCACCACCCGCCGTGATCATATCCTTCACCATCGCCGTCACCACCATCAACGCGAATGGCAACAGTAGTAACAACCAAAATCATCACATCATTGTGGCTATTAATAGTATCCCCCCCCCCCCCCCGCCCCCTCCCTGGGCCCGTTTCGACGCACTATTGGAACTCCGAATGAAAAGTTGCCGTATCTCCCCACACATCGAGAGACTATATAATATATATATATATATATATATATATATATATATATATATATATATATATATATATATATATATATATATATTATATTGTATTAAAGGGTGTCTTATTCATATCTTGTATAGGGAAGTGTTATATATATATATTTTTAGAAGGGAATTATTTTCGTTATCCCAGGATTCACACTATGGCAAAACTTTTGTTGTTGTTGTTGTTTTTAATTATTCATGTTTATCACATCCACGTGAAAGAATAAAGAGATTCCGCGTTATACATTTATGCATTCGGTCCTGAAATCATTATTCTGGGAGTCGTGAATGGCGCAACGTCATTTCGTGCCGCTCCTGTAGGATATACAATCAGGACACGCATCCGGGAAGAAAAAAATAGGATTACATTAAGTATTTGAAAGATCAGGGGCTGAATAACATGGAGGAAAGGATAGGAAGGAGAAAGATGGGAGGGAAAAATATGGGAGACGTGTTTTGATCATGCAGCGAGGAGGGTGAAAGGTATCAGTTGGTAAGAATTAGAATGAGGAAAATAGTGCGAGAATTTAGAAGCAGGGAC